GGTACCTTGTGGCCAGTAGCCATTGATGAACCTTCTACTCCATGTGTTTATCCCATCCCCTCTTGAAGCTGTCTATGCTTGTAGCCACTTCCTCCTGTGGCAGTGAATTCCATGTGTTAATCACTCTAGGTGTCATGGAGTCCCCCCTCCAAAGCAGCCATTCCCTCCAGAGGAACTGATTGCTGGAGTTTAGGTGTAATTCTGGGAGATCTCCAGGCCCCACCTGGAAGCTGGCAACTGGGGCTACCAGTAGGTGGTGGCTGGAGATCTCCTGGGATCACAACTGGTCTCCAGGGAACAGCAATCAGTTCACCTGGAGAAAATGGCCTTATAGGCGGACACAGTGGCAAGGTGGGATAGGAATCGAAATAAATGAAATTATACCCCACTGAAGCCCCTCCTCAAACCCCGCCCTCCTCAGGCTCCACCCCTAAAACCTCCGGCTGTCTCCCAGCCTAGACCTGGCGGTCCTACCCAAGGGGACCCAAAGCAGTTTACAAGATAGTTGTTCCCTCTTCTGTTTTACAGGCACAGCAACAACGCTGTAAACTTGGTTAGAGAGACATGCAGAGTATGAAGGCAACAGCGCTTCCAGGGCCGGCTCGCTCACTTGGCGAACTAGGCGTTCGCCTAGAGCACCCCAGCCCTTAGGGGCGCCAAACTGCACCCACTCCCCGCCAAAAGCACCCCTGCTGGCTCTGACGGGGGAGGCGCATGGGGGGCGCCAGAAGGGACCCTCGCCTAGGGTGCAAAATATGCTGGGGCCGGCCCTGAGCGCTCCCCCCACAGTATGTCCTCTGATATATTGCCTCTGATCGTGGAGGTTCCATTGTATGAAAAGCCATTCGTTGATCTGTCTAGAAAGCTGTCAGAGGTAGTGCTCCTCTATCATCACAACTTGTGGCAGGGAATTCTGTACATCACCAATGTGCTGTGTGAAAGACGACTTCTTTTTTTCTTGTTTTTGTCCCAACTACTGATCCAGCTATTTATCTGTTTGTTTGTTTGTTTAATTCATTTGTCCAGTCCCCGTGTGCTGTGTGAAAGACAACTTCTTTTTTCTTGTTTTTGTCCCAACTACTGATCCAGCTATTTATCTGTTTGTTTGTTTGTTTAATTCATTTGTCCAGTCTTTCGTTCCAGTGGGTACCCAAAGCAGCCGACATCATTGTCCTGTCTCCTGTCTGATTCACACAACAACCCTGTGAGGGAGGTTTGGCAGAGAGAGCGTGAGTGGCCCCAGGTCACCCAGCAAGCTCCCGTGGCACGCGATGATTCAAACCCGGCTCCCAGCATTCTTAACGACACCACAATTTCATTGGATGATGTCAAGTGAGACCTTTAGTAGGAGAGACGGAGAAAAAGCCCCCAGATTATCTTTTAAAAGTAAAAATCCTAAATGCTTTAGGTAGGGTTACCAACCTCCAGGAGGTACCTGGAGATCTCTTGTTATTACAATTGACTGCCAGATTACCAAGATTAGTTCTCTTGGAGAGAATGGCTTCTTTAGAGGGTGGACTCTCTGGCATTATACCCTGCTGAGGTCCCTCCCCTTCCCAAACTCCACCCTCCACAAGATCCATCCCCAACCCAGGGCTGACAACCTTGGCTTTAGGCTTTTCTCATAGGAGACATCATTTTAGATACCCCTGCCTGTACAACCTCAGAAATGCAGACGATATCACTCTAATGGCAGAAAGTGAAGAGGACCTAAAGAACCTCTTACTCAGGGTAAAAGAGGAGAGCTCAAAAGTGGGCTTGAAGCTCAACATCAAAAAAACTAAGATCATGGCATCCGGCCCCATCACGCCTTGGCAAATAGAAGGGGAAGTCGTGGAAGTAGTGACAGACTTCACGTTCCTGGGATCCCAGATCACCGCAGACTGTGGCAGCA